CCCTGTTTTATTTTCATTTAGAAACTTGTCTTATTTAAAATCCAGAAATATCTTTATTTGTCCCTAAGGCAATCTTTTCTGACGTGCATTCTTTATTTATTGCTCATTAAATCTCTTCATTCCAGTTTCAAACCTGTTTACAGTTGTTGGGGACTGAATATCTAGGCGGACCAGTTACGGTGGGCTCGTGGCACCCCCCTGTATTTCAGGGTCAAATTGCCCTGTAGAGGGTTTTCAATGCTGTGACCTTTCAGTAGGGTACTGACCTCCAGGCTGTTCTGAGGAGCCTCGGAGATGGGGGGGTGGGGGTGGGGGTGGTACAAATCTCAAATCTTTTTGGCTACAGCCCAGGGCTGGACCAACCTTCCGCTCAGGGGCTGCTTAGCTAAACTAATCCCTACCTTCTCTCCTGCACCGAGGTGCACCAGGAACAGGAAACAGATTCTGTAAGATAAACTTGGTAAACTGATACTCAACCCTTCATTTTGGCATTTAAGTATGTATGTGGGGCATCAAAGGTTTGTGGGGAAATGCCATTGTCTTTTAATATCATTTTTCCGTGAACTTTTTGAAGCCCCCTCGTATATATACCGTAAAATCAGAAATGTAGATATGGAACTTTAAAATTTGTTTAAGGAAAATAGGTAAACTTTCAACTTGATCCAAAACACAACCCTCACAACAATAAAAGCTACTTACTTAAATAGTGTATGGACACAAGTTGATGAGGGGCATCAAACGTACACTGCACCACTTAACATAATTATACAGTAACTGATTAAGAGTCTTTTTTTAAACGTAGCCAACCATCTGAGGCGAAATGGAACATGTGCAGCAGACTTGTAAGGAAAAGGTTCTGTGGAATTGCAGTAAATGTTAACATTTAAATCTTTTAAATTATGAGGTCAAGAATTGAATGACTAGGTAGAAAATACGGTTTTCAAAAGCAGCAGGAGACTTCACAAACATCACCCTGGATTCGGGCATCAAATCTATGTGAGTTTAAATGCCTCCTTAGGCAAAGTACTTGATACGCTTTTAAACATTTATGTATGGCAGTCTGGTGCAACAGTGGTTAAAGCATTGGGCTGTCAACTGAAAGGTCAGTGGCTCAAACCCATCAGCAGCTCTTCAGGAGAAAGACGTGGCTGTTGGATTCTGGCAATTTCCACCTGGGACCCTCTATGGAGCTTTCTGCTCTGTCCTATAGGGTCTGAACTGACATGATGCCCTGGTGTGGAGGTGAGGATATTTACTTATTGTTTATGAAGCTATGTTTACAGTGAGGTATAACTTACAGCCACTGCTCTTGTTAAGTAGCGATTGGAGTTAGTGAAAGAACACAAATTATGATAGAACTGTACATGAAGTCGTTCATACATGAAGGTGAGTCAATATCAAATATCAAATAGATAGGCCTTATTATATTTACTAGGGGGTCAGACGTTGACCCTTTGATGTTACCTAAAAATACACTGCTACGCAGCCCACCAGGACCTTCTCAAAATGACATCCCTTAAGAAGTAAAAAGAAAAAAAAGAAAACATCCCTAAAGGTCAACAAACAGGCCTGGAACTATTTATAGGCTTTTCTCTTTTTTTGTCATTAGTTTTTGTTGTTGTTTTGCTTTCTTCTGTGTTTGGTTTTGCTTTGTCTTGTTTTTGTACTTATTACTGTCTCTGCATGTCTATCTAGATAAGTGGAATAAACAATCCAAAGGAGAAAACAATGGGACTGACAGTTTCCGTGGGACAAGGGAGAGGGGGAAGTGGGGGAAAGGAAGAGGGGATGTCAACAAACCCAGGGACAAGGGAACAAGTGATCTAAAATCGATGCCAAGAAAGGCGTAGGATGCCTGGTGGGGCTTGATGAAGGGCAATGTAACTGAAAGGAATTACTGAAACCTGAATGAAGGCTGAACATGATAGTGGGACAAGAGGAAAGTAAAAGGAAATAGAAGAAAGAACTAGGAGGCAAAGGGCATTTATAGAGGTTAAAATACAGGCATGTACATATGTAAATATATTTATATATGATGATAGGGAAATAGATCTATGTACATATATTTATATATTTAGTATTAAGGTAGCAGATGGACATTGGGCCTCTACTCAAGTACTCCCTCAATGCACGAACACTTTGCTCTAATAACCTGCCATTCTGTGATGCTCACCTTCCCAACACTATCACTGAAGACAAAATGGGTGCATAAGCAAATGTGGTGAAGAAAGCTGACGGTGCCCAGCTATCAAAAGATATAGCATCTGGGGTCTTAATGGCTTGAAGATAAACAAGTGGCCATCTAGCTGAGAAGCAACAAAGCCCAGATGGAAGAAGCGCACCAGCCTGTGTGATAATGAGGTGTCGATGGGATCAAGTATCAGGCATCCAAGACCCAGAACAATAAATCATATCAATGTGAATGAGGGGGAGGGGGAGGGCAGAGTGGAAACCCAAAGCCCATCTGTAGATAATTGGACATCCCCTTACAGATGGGTCACAAGAAAGAGACAAAGGGTGCACTGTAGCACAGATGAAACATACAATTTTCCTCTAGTCTAGTTCTTTAATGCTTCCTCCTCTGCACTATCATGATCCCAATTCTACCTTACAAATCAGGCTAAACCAGAGCCTGTACACTGGTACAGATAAGAGCTGGAAACACAGAAAATCCAGGACAGATAAACCCCTCAGGACCAATAATGAGAGTAGTGATCCCAAGAGAGGAAGGGCAAGGTAGGGGGAGAAAGTGGGAACCAATCACAATAACCCCCTCCCAGGAGGATGGGCAACAGAAGGGTGGGTGAAGGGAGACAACGGTTTGTGTAAGACATGAAAAAAATAATAATTTTTAGATTATCAAGGGTTCATGAGGGATGGAGGAAATGAACTGATACCATGGGCTCAAGTAGAAAGAAAATGTTTTGAAAACGATGATGGCAAAATGTGTACAAATAGGTTAGACACAACGGATGTATGTATGGACTGTGATAAGAGCTGTAAGAACCTCCAGTAAAATGATTTCTGAAAAAAATAAGTTAAACAAAAAACTTCCTTAACACTTATATATTCCCTTTGAACCCTTAGCCATCAAAGTACCATAAACTTGCAGAGACAATTCGAGAGTGGAAAATACATTTGGTTAATAAATTAACAACTCACCTGGGAAGTGTTGTTCCTTTCACATTATTATCTCGAAAATTCTTTTCATATTGGGGCAGTTCAACAAATTCCACCAACCACTGCAGGGTGTCCTCAAGGGTCCAATTATGAACTGTGAGAGAGAAAAGAGGGAAGCCTACTTCAAACATACCTTCTTTGCAGAATTTTTTAAATGCTTAAAATTATTACAACATCAGGGAAAACAAAAGGTGTTGCTATACTGACTTTTCAATTCAGTCAATAGTGAATTCCAAAATGATATCTACCCTTCTAAGAGGAGCCACATTTCCTGCAAATGGGGGCTTACAACAGATAAGAGAAAAAAGGATAAAATATTAACATGCTTCATTATAAAATGAGCATCTAGACAAGTCTCCAGTGGATGAAATAATAACTGATGATTTTCCTGGATGTAGAAGACTTAACAGAAGTATACTTTATTTACTTTTTCAGCCAGCCACTCATCCCTCTAACAGTGTGTATCAAGCTACATACTGATCACTGGAAATAGCCTTGAATAAGAGAGATGACATCATTTGTCCTTCTGAAACTTCGAATCTGCTGCAGGTGGGAGGGAGCAGCTTATGAAAGGAAAAAAAGGGAGGGAGATTTCAGAAAGTGATCAGCTATTAAGAAAAGAAAATGAGCCAGTCAGGGTGCAGTAAAGCACCAATGAAACACACAACTTTCCCCTAGTTCTTTGGTGCTTCCTTCCACCCACTATCATCACCTCAATTCTACCTTACAAATTGGATTAGACCAGAACATGCCACTGCTACAGATAAGAGCCTGCAACAGGGGATCCAGGATAGATGAACCCCTCAGGGCTAACAATGAGAGTAGAGATACCAGGAGGATTAGGGAAGGGTGAGGGGAGAAAGGGGGAATTGATCACAAGGATCAACCCATAACCCCCTCCCAGGAGGACGAATAACAGAAAAGTGGGTGAGGGGCAACAGACAATGTAAGATATGAAAATCATAATCTATAACTTATCAAGGGTGCATGAGGGAGGGCAGGCAGGGGAGGGAGGAGAAAGAAATGGGGAGCCGATATCAGGGGCTCAAGTGGGAAGAGAATGCTTTGAAAATGATGATGGCGGCATATGTGCAAATGGGCTTGACAAATGAATGAATGTATGGATTGTGGTAAGAGATGTAAAATCCCCCAATACAAATATTTAATAAAAAAATCAAGAAAGAAAGAAAGCTGTTAGGGTGAGTCTCTCTGAGGAGAGGATATCTGAACTGAACAATGCAAGGAGCCAATGCAATGATGATCTGAGAGAAAAATATTTCCAGTCGAAGGAAACACCAGTGCGAAGGCTTTGGGAGGATTCCAGCTTGCTGCAGTTGAAGAAAATAGAAAAAGGACAGTTCATCAATGACTTTTAAGAATGCTGGATATTTTTCTAACCTCAATAAACTGAACAAAAGTAAAATAATCCACATTTATTATTGTACATAATACCACATTTACAAGACCACTGTTTTATGTGGAAAATAAGGAGACATGGTGATACCAGGGTTGAACTAACCAAAAGGTTGGTGGTTTGAGTCACCTGGCAGTTAGTTCTGTGAAGGAGGACCTGGAGATCTGCTTCCACGAAGATTAAAGACAAGTCAACCCTTTCGGGCAGCTGCACTCTGTCACCTCTGAGAAGAAACTAACTCACCAGCACATACCAATCACACGTGGTGAATGGATTGTAGAGGATACACCTAGAATCAGAGAGATCAAGAGGAAGGTTATTTCTGATAGAACTGTCCAGGCAGAAGAGGTCTGCATGGTAGGAGAGAAGACTGTTTCCATTAATTTCTTAGTTCCTCACGCCCAAATAGAGATAATCGTTGAGTCCAACATCATTTTAATATTAATCTGAAATATAGGGGTATAAGGCCAGGCTAGAGAGAGAATCTTAGGGCACACAGCACACAGATAATTTTCCGCTTGAATGGGATCATTCAAAAGAGTAAAGATAGTATTAACAGGGGCCCTGGTACCACCTTTGGGCAAATCCATCAGGTGCTCTACAGGCGACAGAGGAAGCTATCTGCTCCCATAAAGACTGACAGCTACAGATTCCTTGCACAGGGTCACTATGAGGCTGAATTAACTTGAGGAGGTGAGTTTGGAACTTGGGGATGTAAGAGATCACTACATAGTAATAAATAGTACAGGGGCAGTGAAAAAGAAGATCTTCAATGAGATGGATTAATAGCGGCTATAATAATGGGCTGAAACACAGGAAAAGATTATGAGATACTAGAGGATTGGGAAATGTGTTGTCCTGTTGTAGACAAGGTTGATGTAAGTCAGAAAGTACTCCGGGGTCGCCAACAACACCATGTAAGAGACAAGTGAAATGCAGACAGCATACCCTCACTTGCTAAAAGTGAAGGGGACTTGAAGCACTTACTGAATAAGACATACAGTCTTCATTAGATAATACACCTGAACAAAAAAACAAAAAATCCACCCAGCTGGACCAATAAGCAACACCATGATGAAGGGAGAAACTACTGAAGTTGTAAAGGATCTTATTTTACTTGGATCCACAATCAATGCCTTGGAAGCAGCAGTACAAAAAAAATCTGCCAAAGATGACGTCTTTAAAGTATTACAAAGCAATGATCTCACTGAAAAGAAAGGCGCGCCGGACCCACGTTGTGGTATGTCCGATTACCTTATATGTATGTAAATAAAATAGGAAGACCCAAGAAGAACTAATGCTTTTGAATTATGGTATTGGCCAATAGCATGGATTATACCAAGGATTGCCAGAAGAACAAACAAGTCTGTCTTGAAAGATGTACAGCCAGAATGCTCCCAGAAGTGAGGGTGGCCAGACTTTGTCTTATCTACTTTGGTTGTGTTATCAACAGACCATGGGCTCAAACTCGCACTGTTTCCTTCTGCTCTTCCTGGAGCGCTGTGAGTGAAAACCGACTTGATGAGACCTAACAACAACGTACAACTACTGTCTAAGAGGCTGGGGCAGCTTCAAAAAGAAAGAAAGTGCTAACACCTTCTCTCTTAAATGCATAGATTGACCACTGTATATGCATTTGTCTTTAACTAAAGTTAAGGGGGTTCACCTAAGGTGTACACATGATGATTATCCTCATTTTGGGATGAGAAACTGAGGAATTAAATGGAACCCAGATAGTAAGTAGCAGAGGTAGATTTGAACTAAGGCAAACTGACCGCATGATCTGACTCCCAGCCACCCTGAGAGCAACAGAATGGGTGGAACCCAGTCATTAAATATGGAAAGCAACTCCAAGGGTATGTGGGAAGAGCTGGCAGGATGAAGAGCATTTATCCACAGCAAAGGATGCATGTGTGCTTGGAAAACAAGGAGTTCTAAACTGTTTGATTTGAGGGTCCAAGAAAACAAATGCTTCTAGAACAAGTGAATAGAAAACCTAGATCTAGGACTCCCTCTGGGCATAAACATATCTGAGAAAAGATCTTTCAGATAAACTACATAAAATTGTGAATTCACATTTGTGAGCAAGGCAAGTGCTTGGCAATCTGCCTTCTTCATTAAGTGCTCTATAGAGAAAACGCCCAGACAAAGCATAAGCAAACAAAAACTTCATTTAAAAAATTACACACAGCAATTTTATAGTTTTATACCAAGACAATGCTTTCACTATGTTTTAATATGTACTCCCCTTCGTGGATTTCTGCCACAGGCCTGGGCATGTGCCCGAGGCTGTATCTATGCAGCCAAGTAGCTTAGGCTACCAGCCAAACGGTTCAGCACTGGGTGCTTTCCACTGAATTGCATACATTCAGAGTAGTCTTTTTACTCCTCGGTCTCTTCCTATTCGAGATGAACTGCTTTGAGAATTGCCCAGTCCTGCCTGCCAAGAAACCCACAGTGCAGCTGTACCTCACACACCCACACAAAAACCCCAGCCAACGAAACAGGAGGAGATTCTGTCACTTGGATGGCTGCTCAACTGATCAACAGAGCGAGTCCCTGATGTAAACACCCCAGCACAGCAAAATCTTCCCGCAATTTGAGTTGAGCCAGCACAGGCAGAGAGAAAACATCTGACAGAATATATGTTTCAGCCAGCCAGGGTCCAAGGCTACACTGTAGTGGTGGTGGTAGTGACGTTCTACTGAGTCTGCTGGGACTTCGCGGGGACCATGGAGTCAGTTCTGACTGGGGGGTGGGGGTGGGGGTTTCTATAGGGTTTGTGAGGCCGTGAAATCTTCGCAGAAACAGACAACAGCCTCATCTTTCTCCCAAGGGTCAGCTGGTAGGCTTGAGTGGCCCACCTTACAGTTAGTTAGACCTTTACCCAGCACCAGGGCCTCGTTATGTATGCGTGGTACTCAGTAGAGAGAAGACTGTAGTGGTTCTAAAGTCATTTTCTTCACCAAGAATCCTGAAAACAATGAAAATTTGATGTAGAAGATGCTGTTTACTTAGGGGAGAAATTCACTTCTCCTTGTGCTGTCTGGTCCCTTTGGTGCCACTTCCTAAACCCCTTCATTTCTCACCTGGTGACCAAGGCCTTATATGACATTTGCTCTCTGCATGGGCACTGGCTATTCTCTGGTTCTCGATACCTCCCCAGCCTGTTCCGTAGGAGTTGAGACCTTTTCCTCCATGCTCACCATTATTTACACAGGCCTCGGTTTTGCCTCTGTAGCCTACTAAGACTTCACTCAAAAGTAAACGTTTAGTTCTGGTGAGCTTTCCCTGACACTGTTTAGGTTATACTTACTGCACACAGCATTTCACTGATTAACTATTTATGCTGATGATTCTTCTTCTGACTTCTCTTTACTCCATTCAACTCCCAGTGTCTTGCTCCCCACTCTATCACGAGCATTTGGCACTTGAAGGGTGGCTTAACACTGTATTTTTGGATGCTGCTGTCTAAATGAATAGTAATGAGCCAAATGTGTTTAACTGACAGATATTTTTGACCGTCTATTTTTACATGTTAATAAAGACACATACATAAGCAGGATACAAAAAAAAAAAAAATTTCACTGCCACCGAGTCAATGCTGACCCACCTGGGGGTTTCTGAGACTGTGAGACTGTAACTGTTTATGGGAGTAAAAAATCCTTTTCTCTCCTGCA